TAAGATTTCGGAGCAGATTCAAGTGTTCTCCAGTTGGTGCGTGTGACATTAACCGAAAGATTGTCGTGTATGGTGGCATAAGCCTCGTCGGCCGAGGGTGGGGGGGAAGGGGCGTGTTCAAGTGGCGCCTGGTCACCCGCGGCTACCTGGACGCACGTGTGTGTGTCCTAGTGGACGTCGGTCAAGTTTCTGCAGGTCAGCGCGTCTGAAAGCGCTGAATAATGAAGTGGATGATCTTGAGACAGTTGGCCTTAAACAAGGACGCCGGACAAAGCAGTGTTTGGCGTCGGCTACAGGTGGAACAAATGTTGGTTTCACAATCTGGTTTTTAAGGCTCTTTCCTAATCCATATCCAGTACAAATCCCTCTTGTATGCGATTTTATAGTAAAGTAAGTATTTCACGGAGTTTGCGGGTGATTGAATAATATATCCTGCTATCCACAGCGTAACTAGGGGGTTCGACTTGATCCTCTGTTTAGTGTGGTGTGCAGTGTATAAGCATATCGGGTGGAGTTCTCACAGGATGGCGGTTTTTCGTTCCTGCGACTGTCTGAATGAGCGTGTGTAGTGAACCCGCTCCGTGCGCACGCATCAATGTCTGCCTACTCCAGTTCAGTCTGACTAATCATCTTCCTGTGTCTTACTCATAACTGGCCATGGTGATCACTCCCGCCTCCTCACACTTTGGATCCCAGCCCTCTCACGAGTGGTTGTGTATTCGTCCTACTGTCATTTTCCTCCAACCCATTCTCTACTACCTCTGTACAGAATATAGCATTCCTCCCACCTAGTGTCTCGCTTCTTCTCTTCCCGCACGAAACCGGGTCTGACGATCGCAGCGGCAAGCATTTTCCTACTAACTTAGGCCACTGCCATGCATGTTTGTGTTGAAACACGGCATTACCACTTGTTTGATAAGTGGCGTTGCGCATTAGATTGATGCCTCCGCCCTTCGAATCCCAGTACCTCCTCCGTCCTACTTCTATCCAAACTGTCCTGAGCCTATACAAGCGAGTCCCAGGAAGTAAGTGAAAAGTTGTTGTAACCTTGTGTGAGCACCTGCGTCTCCACTTGTTATGTCCCCCAGTTGTATGTTAGGAAGAGAAGACAGACAGGATAGCAGAGGAAGGTTTACTGTAACAGTTTCTGCTTGTACTTCAGCTCTGCGGGTGTCACTCAACTTGTCTCGTGTCCGTCAGCAAGTCGTCCCGTCTGCAGCTTGTCTTCTGTGTGTCCGGCAGCTTGGTCTCGTGTCGACAGCAGCATCCCGTCTCGGCAGCAGAATGCGCCTTCTGTTCGCAGCCTCGTATTTAAGGGCCAGCAGTCTTTGTTCCCTGGCTCTTCTTATTGGTCCATCTACGAGGTGCTTATCCGGATGCGATGCTAGTGACCTCAGTGTGACACGTGGCGACCCTGTTACGCGCGCTTTGCCCGTTCTGTTTGCGTTCTTTGGCGTGTGGGCTTTTTTGTTGTCTTGACCTCAGGACGGCCATCGGGTGCCGTATCCACGGCTCTTTGGGATTGGCGGCTTGCATCTGTTCGTGACCCCTTTGTCAGGTTTGACCTCAGGATGACAAGGGTAATGACTCGCGTGCTTGGCCGTCCTAACAAAGTAGATTTGATCGCCTGACGCTTCGAAATCCCTCGCGGATCCTTCGTCAGATAGAGTTGCACACAGGTCAAAAGCAGCCATAAGGCGTCAGATAATGAAACGCAAAGACCCACTGCCACGATAAGAAATATCTGGAGTCGTTTATACGATCTTGTGCAGTTGCGGACAAAGCAGCTACGTCGGAGAATCTGCAAGACTCCTGAAGACGCGAATTGCCGAACACGCGGCAGCAGTGCGGATAAATGACGCCAATTCTCAAGTCGCGGCTCACTCGTCGAGACCCGGCCACACATTCAAATTTGATGAGGCTGACGTTATTGCAAGAAGCAACAATCGTGTGAGTCGCGAGTTACTTGAGTCATGGTTCACGGAGCCCCAGTCTATAAACATGTACCAAGACCTGCCCAATCCACATTCGGTGCTGAGGCTCAATTTGACCGAAGAAAGTTGCAACTTGAGGATCGCATAGGCCTACGTGTCTTCTAACGCTAACGCCAGGGAACCAGGTGGCCGAGCAATCACCTTACCCAATTTCACCTCGTGGGACGAAAGTTCAACAGGCCACGGCCCGCACGCTGGCCATCAAGCAGTTAGCGCACAAGCGAGCAATTATCCTAAATAGGGGATGTGTTAATTGTCATAGGTGTGCCATATCATAGTGACTGGATCCTATGAATACTGAAACTCTCCGTGTACGAATTATCCGTCTCTGTTTTTGTCTCCGATGAACAATCCGTAACGGATATCGAAACGCCAGGTGACTAAAATTCTCTTCCCAGCGATCACATATCTGAGGCCTCTTTAACAGTTTATTACCTCCTTTTAGATTTCTTGCTATTCGCTTTAGACTTTGAATCATTTGCCACTTTGCGCAAAACTGTCTTATAGAGCCCCGTAAATATCTATTCCCCGCCCAACTGTCTAACGTATTTTGTGGCCAAACATTTAATTCTTGGTTAGTGGGTGTAAATGAATATATAATTATGGTAGAAGTGATCAAACCATATTTAATCCAAGAAACTTATATTTGTTTCAATGTACTATGTAGAATCAAATCCATCAACATAACCTCCTGTTGCTCAGGATACTGGTGCCAATTGAGGAAAATGCAACCTTATATTGGCGGAATTTAACGAAAAAAGGAAATTAGCCCTTATATTGGCGGATTTTAACGAAGAAAGGGAAAGTCGGGTTACGAAAAATGTCAACGTAGGTTGTTGTTGTTGTTGTTATAAATCAAGGACAAAAGTACCTCTAAAGACAGTTCTGCCTCGCTTTCTATACCTTTTTCTTATATTTGAGGATGTTGCTTGTTCTACTCCTCGTTTCGACTAACATCAACCCCCCCTTTGTATGTTTAGCTGTCACCCGCAGCTTCGGTGGTCGGGATTTCGCCACAGCCAGTCGGAGGGTTGAAATTCAGATGCATCGATCCCCACCCCATACGCCCTCGTCGCAGAATTCTTCGCTGCCTAGCGTCCCAGTCTCCACCGCCTCTGCTACCTCCTTTCCTGCCCTTCAGTTTGCCCAAACCAATGGTCTGGTCGCTCTTCCGGGTGGTGTTATCTGGTCAGCGACAGCCTTTGAGGCAGCACTCTCCACTGCTGCCTGTTCTCTCTCCTCCTCCTCCTCCTCATCCACCCACGTTCTAACATAAAAGCCACACCTCCTTATCGGAAGGCTTCTGTTTTGCCCCTGTAACATACTTCCATGCCCATACTTGTACATAACTACTTGCGTGACTTTTAATCGATAAAATTGCCAAATTACCCTCTTTGACTTCGCTAATCGAAAACATGTTAAGAATCATAGTTCGCTTGACAACAGCTGTGCTGGTTTCTTAGTGACCCTCCCCCGCGATAGTTGCGCTAGACCGACATGGGGGTCAGGGGTGGTAGGTGTTATTGGAATTGCGCTCCCGTAATCAATATCGAAC